TTTACCTCCTTGTAGGAAGGATCAAATCAGACTTAGGCATGCAGTTTGTGGACAATGACACCGTCATCCAGACTGTTCAGGAGTGGATACGCCGCCAACCACAAGCCTTTTTTGAAAAAGGCATCAGGATGCTTCCAGAATGTTGGAAAAAATGTGTTGACTCAGGAGGGGAGTATGTTGAAGACTGACATGTGCAAGTAAGTGTTTGGCAATTATGGTTTAAAAAAAAAATCAGTCCCGGTCATATTTGAACCACCTTGTATATATCAGTATGGTTTAGTCTTATTCAAATACATCCACTTCTCAAACCATGATGTAGTTTTCACTAAAAGTAGCTTGCCTGACAAAAAGTGGATCCTGATTAAGTAATTTTTGGTTCAGTGTGCATTTGTGGAGATTGTGGCAGGTTTTCTTACTATTCACCAGCATTCATCATCTTGTAACTTATTGTTAATGCTGTCTGTTAATTGATACAATCATCAAGTACCTGTGATGGTATTGTCATTAGTACCTGTTAACATTTCCATCAGAGTCGACCCCAGGACCATAGTGCAGCCGGAGGATTAGGACAAATGAAAAAAATCCAGTTACCTCATTGGGACTTGAACCCGCGACCTTCTGGCATGTAGCATGGTGCCTCAACCAACTACGCTACCACGTGCCCCCATTGCCTCCCCAGTGGTCATATATTTGACATCTTCATTTTCATTGATCTAAAATTGTCTTTCATATGATATGCATTCCAGTATGTTCTGAATATCTAGTGTTAACTGCATGGACCAGACTGTGAAAGTATCACATGCAATGGAAATGTAATAACTTACGCCATGTTTAATATCTGATGCCTCTGGGTTGAAGTTTCATGCCCTTGAAGTAACATTCATGCACGTTACAAACTGATTATTATTTAGTTCTACAATTAACAGCTAAAGCTATTAAGTCTGAACAAACGTCATGTCATAATTGGTGGCCATTCTCTTTAAACCTGGAACAGCATGCCAGACCACCCCAGCACTTTTTTTCTACACCCCTGATTATAAATCAGCAACAGAGGCATTACATATATCATAAGTGTTACACAATTTGTCCGTGAAGAAGGTGAAATTCTCTTTCGCTTGTTCTTTGTGTAGGAGTGAGGTGAGTCTAGGTTCTGTGACCTTAAATGGGCCTGTTGTAAGCTACCAACCCCTGCTGGTGGTTTAGTATGAAGCATTGGTGAAATGACAACTGGCAGGGGAAAACTGAAGTGTTCATAGAAAAGCCTTTCCCAGTACCACTTTGTCCTTCACAGATCTCACATGGACAAGTCTGCTGTTGAAACCAGACCAAAATAGTGAAAAGGTGGCAACTAAATATGGCAGTGCCTAAGAAGTCGAACAAACTGCTATCACATCTTCAAACTGATGCTCATGATTAAAGCATGAATGGCGACTTTGTGACCAGATAATGGGCTATCCTAGGAAGATAGGTCTTGGTAAGAGGTTACTGCAGCAGGTCACTATTGTACAACTGTGTATTATGTACAGTATTGTACTGTAATATTGTTTCAATTGTTAAAGACAGGTTGGTATGTACTCTGATGGGAGTTTATACAGGTACTTAATTTAGATACTGTAAAATGTACACTTGATAATACTCAACACAAACCTGAATTCACTCAAGATCACTGCCTTTAAAAATACGTTCATTAGATAATGAAACTACCTTCAGAGTACTCATTGATAGGTATGTAACAATTGAAATTAGTTAATAAAACTGCCACCAGGTTGCAGTACTACAGGCCTACAATACTGAACTGCTGGAGTACCCTCTTGCTTATACCTTTCTGGTTATCCTATTACATAGACAAAAATTGCCATTTTTTGTGTTTGTCACCAACTAATATTTTTGGGGAAAATTATTACACAGTTGTGAAGTATGGTTTATATCTATTGATGGCATTTATAGACTATGACATCCTTAATGTATCTGTTCTTGTACTCTCACTAGTAACATGATCATGCATGAACCTGTTTGAAGACACTCTCACTGGAGTTCAGTGTCTGTGTATTTCTTCAGCTGCTGTCACTAGGAATGTGGTCAGTGTTTCTTGAGCCACTTCCACTATGAATACAATGTTTATGTGCTTCTCAAGACACTCACACTAGGAATGTATGTATTTCCTGAAGCACTTTCACCAAAAATGTTGTGTTTATGTATTTCTGAAGACACTCTCGTAATGAATGCGTTCTTTATGTGTTTCCTGAAGCACTCTCACCAGAATTTACATGTCTGTATACTTACTGAGACATCAGGAATGCTATGCTTACCACTACTAGCAGTGCAGAGTGTGTTTTTCTCAAGACACTGTCTAGGAATACTGTGTCTATGCATTATTTGAGATATAATGGCAGTCATGTGATGTCTACGTATTTCTCGAGGCACTAATCGCACTACGAATGCCATGTCCATGTGTTTGCTGAGGTATGCTCACTGGAAATGTGTTGTCTGTGTTCATCTTCTGAGGCACTGTCGGTAAGAATGCATTTACTGTGTGTTTCTCAAAACGCCATGGGTTAGAATATGACAGGTGTATATTCTCAAGACAGTCTCACTAGGAAGAGGGTGCCTACATTCTCTAGTTCTCTCGTTACCAATGTGCAGTTAATGTGTTCTGGATATACTTTCAGGTGGAGTGTGAAGTGCATGTATTTTTTCCTGACCCTGTCATTGGGAATGTGGAGGCTGTATAATCTCTAGTTGCTCAGTCTGGGAATCTGATGTATCAGTTTCCATGCACTACAAATGCTGTATGTATACATTTCTATGCTAGATTTTGGATTGGATTGGATTGGATTGGAAGAAGTTCAGATAATGCCGTATTATCTTCCCATGGAGTGTAAACAAGTGATATAGGTCTCGTTTCATGGCAGTGTTTGGTTTTGTTGCTTATAAGAATTGATTACAAGGAGAAAAAGGAGGGAGGAAAGACAGGACCGAAGGAAACTGACATGATTTTAATATTATATACATATACTATATAAACTGAGTTAAAGCGTAGGCCTGTAAATGAGACTGCAAAGAAGGATGTGTATCCCACCCAAGCTCTGCAATGCACGGTTGGTGACACATTGGGATGGGCAGAAGAATCCACCTCCAGCCGCCTTTGCATTCTGTGTGTGAACGACCGGGCGAGGTTGTGAACCTATTGTGGGTCACAAAGTTCTCTGACACCGGGTAGGCATACAAGACTGCCTAATCCAAGAGCTACTTTAATCGACAGTATAAAGGTAAATTTTTCGATCTGCCTAATCAACGCTATTGAAGATATAAATGGAGTGTTAAGTAAAGCTGCATCCTGTAACGTGTATATCCATTGTTAGGCAACGACCCGGTAAACACATTTCCGCGGAAACCAACGCGCGCGAATTAGGACGCCTACGCGGTAGCCGCACTAGGCCCTGGGGTTTACTCAGCCTTTAACAGAAATGAGTACCAGGAATTAATTAAATAATTTTCCTGGGGAGTAAAGAGCGGCCGGTGCGTAGGGCTGGCAACCTTACCGCCATCTTTGAGCCGGCTGTCTAGATAATGTAGGACCCTCAACGTCTCACAACCCTATGGGCCTTCACGGCCTGGTACAGGGATAGCTTTACTTTACTTACTTACTTTATTGCTAGACAACGGATCAGTAAACACGCCTAAAACAATACCGGACAATAGAAGACCGCGTTTTCCGTGAGTTCCGCCCCGAGGCTATATAATGGGAAGTTCCAAGGGAGCAGTTAGTTTCTGTAAGAAGTCGAGAGAGTTCTGATGAAGAAGAGCTCATTTGACTTAGTTCTTGTCGAGTTCTGGAGATGGCAGCCGAAGGTTGTTGAGCAGAATAATTGCAAGAAAGGAATTGAGCTGTAAAAATAGGACTTCATTTGTGATTTGAAGTGACAGTGAGACTGTTATGAAACCGTTGTCAGATACGACCAGTGAAGACTGAGAAGCCTAGTGCGTGTGCAACAATGATCTGTAATGTGTGTAAATCAGCAATAGCGCTGTGTTTCCTGCAGTCCCGAGTTGTGTGAATGTATCAGGTGAAATAAATCCAATCCAAAACCCCTTCTTCTAAGTCACCTCTACACGCGGAAATACATTTCAAACTGATGAGTGGTCAATGTGAAGCTTCTGTCTGCCTCAAAGAGCCCCTGGTACCTACTGGATATGAGGCTGCGTGCGACCCAGACCCTATCGAGATGCCATGGTGTCGAAGCGAAAACCCCTTGCTCCCAACGGGAATCGAAGTCCCAGTGTCCTGCATGAGTCACTTTATTGATTGAGGTGTCCCTTAGTTCCGATGTATTCCTAATTCGTCTCTGTCAGCGATATTCTGCAACCCGGTCTTCATTCTGTTCCTTCCCCCCACCCGACTGTGATCAGTCGCGATTAGATTTTTTATACCATTCTGCATGAATGAAAATCTCTCCACACATCTGTCCCTTCCATGTGCTCAAACACCTGAACGCCCTTTTTTTGTCTTTTGTTTGTGAGTGACATATTTATAATAGACAAAAGGCCGCGCCATAGCTCAAGCGGTTAGTCGCTGACTTCCCACCGCGGCGACCCGCGTTCGATCCCTGGTCTGGTCAAGTGGGATTTGTGGTGGACAGAGTGGCGCTGGGGCTGGTTTTCTTCGAGTACTTCGGTTTCCCCTGCCAATCTTCATTCCACCAAATTCTCCATCATCATAATTACCCGTGGCAGGCTACAATAGGCCAATCAGTGGCCGCCGTGTCGAGTGGACCCAGCTGGACTCCACCCCCCATTAAGCGAATAAAAAAAATTATAATTGGCAGTCCACCAAATGGTGCATCATCTCGTTAAATTTATCGTACTGCGTTTTGTACTTTTAATGACAGCATTATAATGTACTTATTAGTAGAAATATTTGTTTCGTATTCGCTTCAGATCCACTTAGCTGATATTTAGCATCATCTTCGGTAGTCACAGGGTCAGAAACAAAATAAAATGCTCCAGAAAACTTAACATTCGGGAAATAGTACGACAGTAGATAATATTAGTCACTATAGTTGACCATGTTTGAATGGATTCACAAGTGACCAACTTAAACAGGTTTCTCCATAATTTTATACGGCGCGGTTTGTTGTAGGCCTGGATCTCAGGAAGTTATATCAGTGTTAATATAAGCTGTCGATCTTAGTTGTTCTTTTAATGAACATTTAAAGATATAAATACAGATGAGGTAAGCGTGGCAGTATCGCTGTTGTCTTGTATGCGGAAGAATATGATTCAATTCTCGACCCTGACTGACATTTTCCGTAGATTTCCTCTTTCTTTTCTTCCCCAAGAAAATGTCCGGCAGAACTTTGAAATGACCCACGGACGCCTGCCTCTAAATCCTTATTTGCACAGTTGTCAAGGTCAGTTTCCCATGTCACTGAACACACTAATCTGAATTAAAAAGCCTTTTCGAATGCCTGAGTAATACCCCCAATTTTACAACTTCAGCTGTAGTTTTCGGATTAGAAAGTAGTGTTATGTAAATTAAAGTAAAGGTATCCCTGTAACAGGCCGTGGGGGCCCATGGGGTTGTGAGATGTTGACGCTCCCACATTTTCTAGACAATCGGCTCATAGATGGTGGCAAGTTTGTCAGCACTACGCGCCGGCCGCCCTTTACCCCCAAGAACATTCCAAGAATATTCCTATACTCATTTCTGTTAGAGGCTGAGTCGACCCCAGGGCCATAGTGCGCCTGGAAGGATTAGGTCAATTGAACGAAGTCCCATGACCTCATCGGGACTTGAACCCGCGACCTTCCGGCTTGTAGCATAGTGCCTTAACCAACTACATACACGCAATAATATGTGTCTCTTTTTGATGTCAATTCAACCAAGAAAAACGGAACAAAAGAATCATTTTGGGCCCATGAGATAATAGGACAAGAATAAAAAAATTCGGTCTGAAAAGCCGAAGTAAACAAACCACCTCAGAGGTCTAGGCACAGACAGAAAGAGTAATATTAAAATGTTGATTGGATTCACCTGGCTCACGACAGGGTCTGTTGTTGGGTTCTTGTGAGCGCAGTGATGGTGAGAAAGCTGCTGACAGATTCATGACTGTCTATCTCAAGAAATGGAGTTTATTATTAAGTAAATCAGTTAATGTAACAGCATTGTTAATGTAATGCAGCTTGTCGTAATTCATTTTCCAAACCATTTCAAATTAAAACTCGTAGCACGCCATTGCTTTCAGGTCCTGAACGTATTTTGCCCCAAGCTCCAGCCTTTTCGCATTTACATCAAAGCGTCGAAAGGCGTTAACAAGTTGAAAAAGGTGGAGGCACTTGGGAAATTCGTTAGGCATTTCAGGCGTGACGTCAACACCACTTTCTCTTGCTGATGTGCGGGTGGGTAAGTCAGGTATCATACAGAAGCTTCCAGGGGTTTATCAACGTTGATTTCCCAACTCTCCCACACGAGGACGCTTGACGTCACGGAGGTGCTTAGCTATAATAAGTAAGTTGTGCTTGTAGTAATTGTCAGTTTTGGAAGCGAGAAGCCGAGGAACAAGCTGACGTCATGGCCCTGACAACCAGTTGCGTTGCTTTGGCCATCACTATAGCCTCAACTCTAGCAGCTCCACCAGGTGGGAAATTTTCCATATTAAAACCGGGAAATTTTCATAATGAACTCGCTTGTTCACCTTGAAATTAACTTGCTCCAGGACTACTTGTTATCTTAAAATAAGGAAATTTGCTTCAGCATTTTCCTGCTTCTGCCTTCCTTACAGTATAATTAGCTTCCACTCTGCGGCCCGCATGTCGCTAAGGCACTTGAACATTAATTTTAACGCGTTCAAAATTAAAAGCTGAAAAATAGGACTCTCAGATTCGCCATGTCTATCAAGTGATCTGTATTCGTGTAATAACTCAAGAATTGACCAGCGGATTTTAGGAAATTTGGTATCGGACAGTTGCACTGAAATTTGTCAATAAATTTCAGTTTTTGGTAAAAATTGGGTGACAATGAAGGGCGCATTTTACACAAAGTTCTGCCTGCGTTTCTGCTCGCAACTCTAGAGCAAACTCGAGCCTCACTCGTTTTAAGTATTTTCACGAGCGAAAAATATTTCAGACATAAGGTGTACAGAAAAATTATACATGCAAATTTTACTTAATACATTTTTTCTGTAAGTCTTGCGGCTTTCGAGATAATTCAAGAAAAGAATGTGTACGTTTCTAGAGACAGTAGTGGAGAAAACGCGCCATGGGTACATTTCTTAATATGTTCGACTTTTATGGCCCTTTTTAATCATGATTATTATGAATTAGAATAAATAGCCTATGAACTGTGACGTGCAGCTAATCGAATTTGGTGATCGATTTTTGTGCCATTTACGACGACGTTGTTTCATCTGCAGAGGTTACAGAGCGTCGAATGACATGGGTATGTAATCAGGAATGTTGAATACATAAAGTTTTAAGCCTCAGCTACGGCTCATTTCAAGGTCATATCCCGGCATTCATCTGTAAAATTGTTATAGTTTTATTGGGGCTAGAGATATAATTCGTAATGAATGTGTAAGAAATATATGCAGAATTGGGGGGGGGGCACGCGGTAGCTTAATTGGTTGAGGCACTATGCTGCAAGCCGGAAGGTCGAGAGATCAAATCCCGATGAGGAAGATTTTTTCAACTTACCTAGTCCTTCCAGCCGCACTATGACCCTGGGGT